AGAAGTCTCCTTTCTCAGGGCTTGGAAGGTGGCTCAGTGGTAGAGCACTTTCCTTGCATGCATGAGGCTCTGGGTTCGATTCCTCAGCACCACATAAGCAAAAAGAAAAAAGCCGGAACTGGCACTGTGGCTCAAGTGGTAAAGTGCTAGCCTTGAGCTGAAGAGCTGAGGGACAGCGCCCAGGCCCAGAGTTCAGGCCCCACGACCGGACCCCCCCCCACAACAAAAGAAGTCTCCTTTCTCCATCCCGACCCTCCTGAGCAACTTGTCAACTCTTGCTTCATAGGAAATCACATATCTTGAAAGTCTCTAGAATTTTTACTTTTGGCAGTCACAGACAGTTCCCTGGCATGGTGGAACTTTTGTTTTGACCTGCTGCCTAACGGTGCAATCAAGCGCAAACTGTGAACCCATTAAGCAAGGAGTCTTCTGGAATCAGTCAATTCTCTGCATCTCCTCCATCAATGTCCCCCTTTGTTAAATTGTCTTCTCTCCTACACATACACATACTGGTACACATGCACGTATGTGCACATGCATACACACAGAGAAACTCTACCTCTAGATCAGCACTATCCAAATGAAAAGTATTTGTAAACCTCTAACTAACTTAAAATTTTCTAGTAACAATAACAAAAGTGTTAAAAGGAACACATGCAATTAATTTTAAGATATATTTTATTTCATCTACTGTATCTAACTCATTGCTATTTCAAAATGCAGTTGATATAAGTATTATTTAATATAGTATTTTGTATCTCATTTTTCATAATAAATCTTGGAAAATCACTTTTTAAAATTGTTTTTCAACAAACCTCAATTCACATAGCTTCAATGACTATAGTATTAGGCAGGGGAGAAGTCTTTTTCTCCATCCCTCCCTGCTTTGGTGGTGGTATTAACTCAGGCCTCACACTTGCTGGGCAAGTGCTCTACCATTTCAGCCATACCCCTAGGCCTTTTTAGCTTTATTTTTCATGTAAGGTTTCATGCTTTTGCCTAGGCTGGACTTTGTAGTGTTCTCCTCCTACCTTTGCCTGCTGATAGCTTTGAGGACTGATTCTACCCAGAGAACTATTTGCATTTAATTGGAAGGAAATTGCTTGTCTTAGAATGTGGCACACATGTTTGGGGTGATAGTAATTTCTTGTTCTGCTATGGAAAGGTAGGTAGTTCATCTCTCTGGCTTCTTAATCCAGCAAGGGTAAGTGGAGATCTGCCTCTTATTAAAGGACAGTTTGCTAGTGAAGTCCAGGGGCCACACTGCCCTGTATATGGTAGCCTATCCTCCCCCGTCCCTCTAAAGTGAAATTGGGGATAGAGTGTTACTTTGAAATTGGCTATCCAAGAAAATACAGGAAAGCAAAATAAAGAACACACAAAACTAGAATGCTAGTATTTGAATACGCCTCTTCAACATCGACCTCCTTCATTCCATTGGCAGAGAAACTGAATCCTGGAAGGGAAATAGGACTTTCCCATCACTGTATAGCACTAGCTATAAAGTAGATTGGAATTAGCATTCAGGTCCCAAATGTCCCAACTTTTGACAGTGTTAAGTATTGAGTGGGTTAATATGTCAGATCATTTACCCCCCGAAAAGTCTCAGAATCCACAGATGATAAACAGGCATTCCTCTTCTTATTGGAGCCCAAGTCTTGTTCTTCAATGTCATTTCCTGGTAGGAAATATACTTTTTTTTTTTTGTGAGTCAAGGGACCTGAACTCTGGGCCTGGGCGCTGTCCCTGAGCTCTTTAGCTCAAGGCTAGCGCTCTACCGCTTGAGCCACGGCACCACTTCTGACTTTTTCTGTTTATGTGGTGTTGAGGAATCAAACCCAGGGCCTTGTGCATGTAAGGCAAGTATTCTACAACTAAGCCACCTTCCCAGCCCAGAAAATGTTTTTTTGGGGGGGTCCAGTCGTGGGGCCTGAACTCTGGGCACCTCAAAGCTAGCGCTCTACCTCTTGAGCCACAGTGCCACTTCCGGCTTTTTTCTTTTTGTTTATGTGGTGCTGAGGAATCGAACCCAGGGCCTCATGCATGCAAGGCAAGTGCTCTACCACTGAGCCACCTTCCCAGCCCCCGGAAATTTTTTTTTTTTAAGACCAAGATTATTATTCCCTCACTGTGATCAAAGACCAGAAGGCAGGGCTGTAGAAACATACAAAGATGGGCTGGGAAGGTGACTCAGTGGTAGAGTGCTTGCCTTGCATGCATGAGGCCCTGGGTTCGATTCCTCAGCACCACAGAAGCAGAAAAAGCCAGAAGTGGTACTGTGGCTCAAGTGGTAGAGCACTAGACTTGAGCTGAAGAGCTAAGGGACAGGGACAGGCCCAGAGTTCAGGCCCCATGACTGACAAAAAAAAAAAGAAAGAAAAGAAGAAACATGGAAAGCTTCTAGCTTTCCAAGGGGAATTCCCAGAGAAGTTTTCCCTGAGGACCAGTAAGAAGAGAAAGACAATCTGCAAAGTGGGATGGCAGACCTCTCGGTAGTGAGCAGAGCAAGTATGGAAGCCCTGGGATCAAGATGAGGCTGGTTTGTTTCAGAACACCAGACAGCCTGTAGGTAATGGACTGAGGGCCTGAAACATGACAAGGGGTGTGGTAAGTATAGTCCTATAGAGACGAGCTAGGCATTCAGGTAAAAAAAAAAATTATTTTCCCTTTGATAATATGATGAGTTTCATTTTAATGATATATTTTTGCTCTTTCAAGCTAAACATGGTGGTTCATGCTTATAATCCTAGCCACTGAGGAGGCTGAGAAATGAGGATCATAGTTTGAAGCCAACTTGGGCAGAAAGTCCATTAGTGAGTCTCTTGTTTCCAATTTATCAACAAAGAGCTAGAAGTGGAGGTGTGGCTCAAGTGGTAGAGCACTAGCCTTGAGAAAGAAAAAAGCCAAATGAAAGTACAAGGCCCTGAATTGTTCCTGTACTGGAACAAAAAATTATATCTATATATCTATATACATACATATGTATATCCATACACATATAAATTGCTGCTTAAATTTTTTTGTTTCATCATAATCTAATTTGTCATGCAACCTAAATTTACACAACCTAATTATCTGTGCCACTTGTAAGAGTCCTTGAAGGTGGAATGCTGTCTCTTG